ACCAAGCCACGAATACGATAAGGCACAGGATTCTTGGGATATTGTGTTACGCGTCACCGAAACTAGCGTGCTATTCGTAATTGTTGGACTATACCTTTTTCAGCCAATTGAATCCATAGCGCTTTCAAATTTCTCCTTAGGGAAATGAAGTTTCTCCATAGATCCTCCAAGAACGTCCATGACGCTTTCAGGTTTAATTCAACTTGCGCAAACACCTAAAAGTTGCGTGCTGTTTGTTGTGTGACCTATCTCAAATAAGCAGACATAACGGATGTGCACAGAGAGTTGGATGACATTGTCTAATTTGGATTTGGTCACTTAGTGAGCCGTAGCATTTAGGGGTGTTCGTGCCCTCCGGCTTCAACTTGGAAGCGTCATGGACTGTCTTGAAAGCTCTATCGAGGAGCTTGATTCCCTTAAGGAGGAATTTGCAAGCGTTATAGATTCACTTGGCTGAGAAAAGGTGTAGATGTTCCCGTAACCTCTGATGCATATTCAGCGACCATACGGCAGGTTGGGGTAACCCAGAGCTATTTCTCCCCTAAGCCACCATATTCAGGTTTGATTTTAGATGGGTCTGGAAAACAAGGGAATCCCCTGAGTGTTCCTCTTTGAACGGATTGTTTAGACAGGGACGGATCCGAATCAAAAGACCCAAGCCACACTGGTCGGCCATTTGCTACCCCTGGTTCCTACACTGGCAGTCCCTGCTTTCACCTTCGAGTGACGTAATTAAAATATGGGAAATGGTACGTGAATGAGAATGGTTACACAAATGAAGGACAATGCCAAGGAGTTGCGTAAAGCACGGAAAAGATTCGAACTAAAGATATATTTCTGGTTAGGAAGGGAGCAAGGCTTTTTTTTGCCACCAAACGCATCCAACTGACGCTGAAAACCCTTAAACGTAGGTTCCCTGGCTGCATTATCTGGAAGCGAATCCCAGCGTAAGCGGTAACCGGTTTTCTGTCCTAATCCGGTCAGAGCGCGGCTTTTGTGACTTCCTGGGATGGTCGCGGAGACCAAACAACTTGTCCGGACTAGATAGCCAAAAATAGTTCGGTCCAACCTTCCCACTTAAGATACGGTAAGGATCAGGTCTGATCGTATCTTTCGTTAGCGCATTGAATATACACCCAAATTAACTAGGCGCTCTGGTACATCTGTCCGCGTAACCCCTCAGCCAACCTTAGTACCCAGTCGCAAAACGCTCGAGCTCCGTTTTGTCCAGACGAGACAGGGCGCGCAACTCGACGTAGTATTCTAGATGGGGTCGAACAAAAACCGATAATTTCTTGATACGTATATCAGCTATTAGAGTCTCGAAAGAATTTCGTGTAAACCACAACCTCCGGAACCATTTAGCCAGCCGTCTTCCATTCGTCTCCAGAGCGGAGAGTGGATCGATGGACGACGCGTAGATCTACTTGATGGTCACGTAAGGGCTTTCACTTCCATCGATCACTAATTTGTAGAGCAATTAACCGCTCCGATACGCAACATGAACACTTTACCCGGTTTATAGGCTACAACCACATCGTAAACCATTCCCAGAGTCCATCCAGAGCCCGTTGGAGAGTTTCATGACCACGAGAGACACGCAATATTCCGGAGCTTTAGATCCTCAGCACATATGAGCGACGATACCCCAAGCTCCCCAGACAAGTCATTTATACTGCTAACAGCAGCGGCTGTAGGATAGAGCCCTACTGGACGCCGCTATGAACGGCTTACCGAAACGAGAAACTGTATCCAACGCGTGTACCTTATTCCCCTCCATCTAACAAAGCTATCTCCCACTGAAGGGCGAGACCAGATGCTCTATAGGACCTCAGCTTCAGCGTGAGCCGCGATTGGGGTCCGTGTCACAGGCCTTAGCAAAGTCAACGAACAGCACTTGCACGGCGTGCCCATTGTCAACAGCTTCAATACAGCTCTCACGCGCTACCAGTAAGTTAGTTAGACGTAAAAACCCTTCGCGACACTGAGCAAATTAAATTTATTCCAGTGATTACTGAATCTCTTACCGATTCTTCAAGTACGTTAACCACGACGGTAGTCACGCTGACAGGCCTATAATTAGCCAGTAGGTCCCTGTCACTGCGCTTGAAAATCGGGTCGGTCACGGCTTTTCTTCCATTCTGAAGGTAGCGGATTCGTGTAGTAGTTTGGGATAAACACAATGTTGACCGGGTGCTTTAGTTGGGCCTGACTCCCTTAGTGACCTGAGACCGTCACACAAATTTCATCTGGATAAGAGCCTCGAGACCAGTTCTGTGCGCGGCATGTATGTTTCACGGATACAGACGCTTGAGTATTACTCACCAAACCCGCGCTTTGTCATAATCGCTACAAACGGGTTCTATCTGCTCGAAACAGCGCTAGAGTAGAAGAGTTCGCAGCACAACGAGGCTATCATTTAAACCCTCCTACTAATAAAGCCGGGCAAACTTAAGATGTAGCTTGCACTTATTCCGAACCACCAGATATCTGTCAAACGCGTTGGGCGACGGAGTTGCTCGATACGATCGCCGGCATCTAAATCGGTACTTCAGCAGAACCTTCCCCATTGAATCTATGTGTGGAGACTTTGCTCTCGTCTCTTTTTCCGACAAGTAGGACGTGATGTACAGGTTAACTGAACAGTGCCCTCGGAGATTACAAAACAGAAGACCGGGTACAAATTTTAAGACGCCACTTGCCTGATATGGTCACACTAATTAGACAAGCAAAAGTGATCGCCAACACTAAGAGTCGAGTCGTAAGTGATGAAACCTGGCTCCCCTACACAGACCTCCCAGCCTTTGTGCTTCGAGTTTATACTATATATATGGTCGACGTCATCCGGTTTCGGATTTGCCTATCACTGTGGCCAGCCACAGGACGCTTGCTCCTACAGAGGGACCATGGGTGGCTTGCGCTGCATTACCCACAGCTCTCATCCCACACACCCCATATCCAGTGTAAACCCGAAGGAATAAGACCGGGGGGCATGTGGATGGGAGCCACGTTTCATCAACGGAGTCAGCCCACACTTCTTCACGGGCAAACACAAGCACGCTGTATTTGGGAATCAAACGCACACAAGGCGGTGGCTGGACCGTAGTCCGCTCCACACTGACTGCATGGAATCACTCTTTGATCCTAACACGGCCACAAGGACCGTGCATCCCGTGCACCTCCAGCAATGATAAACTGTCTCTTGGAACCAGTATGAACGAGGTAGTGGATAGTAGACAGGTAGGCACCTTGTCAGCGTGCACATCAAGCGCAGCCACACCGGGGATATCAAGCAACAACCAATCACTTGAGAGGAAGATAACAAAGAAACTAAATCGGATAATGCATAAGGGAACGGTGACCTAAATCTTAAATTAGTGAGCATATGAAATAAGTTGTTTACAAACGAATCCGAGATAAGTTCACGAGGTCAGAAAGTATATTTTACGGAAATGCCACAAACACGAAAATGTTATCGAAATTAACTACAACTGGCTTAAGCGACGTGTGCAAGTTTATAGAAAGGAGTACAGGAGGAGTTTATAGAAAGGAGTACTTACAAACGCTGCGCCGGTGCTGCCTACGTTCTCTGCAGAACCCGTCGTCGCTTCGGTACCGGTCCCGAGTGGCCTCACTAGGCAGCGCCACGCATACCGCAGGACGACAATGGTTGTGTCCCTCCATTCCAAGAGTGCGTTCGATTCAGTCGATGGATGCATTTTGTTCGAAATACTTGCGCGGAATGGTGTTCCCACGAAATATGTGAACATCCTACTTGATCTATACTCGAACACTACAGACCCGCGTCACGGTCTTCGGTGACCTGTCGGATAGCTTTCCAACCACAAGTGGCGTTCGTCAAGGTTGTCCGGTGTCCCCATTTCGTTATGGACTCTATCATTGAGTGATCTTTTACGAAATCTCACGAAGTAGGCGTCGAGGTCGTACCTGGTGAAAAGTTAGTTGATCTTGATTATGCGGACGGTATGGTCTTGCTTTTTAACAATGTTACGGCGGCACAATCAACCCTGAATAACTTGTCTAGAGTGGTCCCATTATTTGGTACGCACTTCCCACCTTCAAAGTGCAAAGTGTTGCTGCAGAGTCACCAGCCACTTTATGACCCCTTGACCTTTGCTAACGAGAAACTCGGTGGTTAATCAATTCACTTACTTTGGCATTTGCATCAGCAACGGTGGGCGCATAGAAACTGACGTCCGCTCACGCGTTGCAAAGGCCAGAGCTGCCTCCTTGAACCTGCGGCATTTTTGGCGGCAGAAGAGAGTTTCTCCGTCTGGAAGGTCGTGTATACAAGGCCACAGTGAGGGCCAT